ACCCCGGGGGGAAAGGCAAAGCAGGCCACCACAAAGCGCTGCCGCCAACCTCCCGGGCAGGGAGTTGCCTCGCCGCAGCCCCGTGCAGCATCGCTGCGTTGCCGCCGAGCCGAGCGCAGCGGAGCCGGCTCCGCACGGTCCCTCCCCGGCACTACTGTTATTGCCGGCAGGAAAAGCATTGCCACAGTTCAAATCCGTAACTTTTCTATCCCTTTCCACAGCCTAGGAGCAAAACATCCCCTAACTGTGGGTTCAGAAATAGAGACTGGGAGGATGTTCACTTGGCCGGAAGGCTACTTTTTGGCAACTGGCCAACAAGTATCGACGCCTCAATGCTGTCCTCTATTAAAGTCCACCCCCAGGATGGTTGATCCATCTTGACCACGCTCCTTGGAAACCTGCTGGCTGAACACAGCTCTTTTTTTCACCAAACCGTGGGCACAGGCATTAAAAAGCCTCCTGCAAAACCACAGAGTTGATCATTTCTTGTCTAAGCAGCCCGGAAAGCCTGCCCACACATGGCTTGACACGCTCAGGCAAGCCAGCGATGCTCCTTGAGGTTTTGGGAAAGGTCACCATGGTGTGAAGGCCACGCTCAGCCAACACTGATGAAATGCAGTGGTGACTGGAGACCACAAGGAATGTGGAAAATGAAGGATGGTGGTTAGGCACTGGATGACTATTTTTTGGGGTGAGAAGCCAGATGTCCATAGGGTGGATCTGTGGTGACTCACCAGGGGTTTCCCCAGCACAACCAAGGCCCGGAGAGGGAGAGATCCTGCAGGAAAGGCCAGTCTGGGTGGAAATGCTAGGCCTGAGCTCCCTCCACACCCTAGAGGCAGGTGTGCATGGGAACCCCGTAGCCCATGGGAACCCTTTGGGTTGCAGCGTTTCTGAGGGCAAAATGTAAATTTTGGCTTTCTGCTTCTCTCTTGCGGTTGTTCCTGGGTTTCAGCTCATCCAGGGGCAGCATTTTCTGGGTTTCCAGAAGTCATGAAGCAGGGTCCCAAATGAGATGGCCTTTGAAACAGTCTTGTGATAGGTGTCCTGCTTTGTGAGGAGGTATGAGTCACGTCAAACTAGCGGCACGGGCTGACTCGCACTCACAGGAGCTTGGGGCTGGAGCTTCAACAAGCAACGGCAGAGATGGGGAGTCCTGAAATTAGCCTGCAAGAGTCAGCAGCAGGGTCTGCGTCGTGGGAAACTTTTTCCGCCTGCGATGTTCAATATTCAACATTTGTGAGATGGGATCTGGATTCGGGTTGCGAGTCTGCGCAGAGATTAATCTGATTTTCCAGTGCCCTCTGTGTATTTATTTCCAGAGCACCACAGACCTTCGGGTACAGGATGTGGGGAGAGATTGGTAGGTCTGGAAAAAACCTCTACACCCCGGGGGTGTAGCAGTGTCACTGCTATTAGTGTTATCGCTCCTGGGCTCCAGCCAGCTGGGCTGTCACTGGGGTCATGCCTGCACGGCGCAAAGAGCTTTCCCGCTCCACGGAGATGCCGACGGCTTTGCTGAGGCTCCACACCGCC